GAGGCTAGCGCTCTACCACTTGAACCACAGCACCACTTCTGGCTTTTTTCTTTTTGCTTATGTGGTGCTGAGGAATCGAACCCAGAGCCTCATGCATGCAAGGCAAGCGCTCTACCACTGAGGGACCTTCCCAGCCTATACCCTTATTTTTCTTTTAATGGTTAATCAAAATGAATAGTTCAAGATTCTAAGTAAAATCAGTCCTGAAAATGACAATCTATAAAAGGTTTTGTTATTATTGGTGAGAAAAAAGAATGTAACAACCAAAGAGGAATATTATCTATCAGAAACCAGTTGAAAACAATATTCTATAATCAAATATTAAAATTAAAATATAGTCCAGTATTTGTTTGATACTGAAGGTATGTGCACTTCGGCTGCTAGCCACTTATGGCTATTGAGTACTATGAAATATGCCTAGTGAGACCAAGGAATTGAACTTCTAATTTCATATATGTCTAACAAATTTAAATAGCTACATGTTCTTAATGGCTTTAACTATGAGATACTGATAAGTCAGAATATTATTTTAAAGAAAGAAGTGGCTAGCTGGGTGCTGGCGGCTCCTACCTGTCATCCTAGATACTCAGGAGGCTGAGATCTGTAGATCATGGTTTGCAGCCATTCCATGCAGGAAAGTTGGTGAGACTCTTATCTCCAATTAACCACCCACCAGAAAACTGGAAGTGGAGCTGTGGCTCAAAGTGGTAGAATACTATCCTTGAGAAAAAAAAGCTCAGGGACAGTATTTGGGCCCTGAGTTCAACTGACAAAAAAAAAAGTGACTAATCAAATAAAAGCCAATATAAAGCAATTTAAAGCTCATAAAACTGGAGAACATAACTAAAAGCAAAACAATACCTTTATATTTGTCAGGATGTTCTTCATATTCCATACAAAATGTAAGAAATTTCATGAGCATTCGTTTTTCTACCATAGAAAGTTGCTTGCTATTAAAGACATCTGCTCTGGAACAAGGAACCTGGGAAACAGTATAATAATCTGTTACACAAATTGTTATAAAATTGCTTCCTAATGGTACAAATATCCCAAGTTAGTTTACCCCCTTTACATATAGGAGGATTATTATTTTCATTTTAGTCTGCCCATTTACATCACCTTCCATCAGTCCTAATAGCATCTATGTTGACTTCAGAGCTAGTTAGCTTGCAAGCTTTCTCACTTCATTCTGCCAACTTGTTCTTCATGCCATTAAAAAGTCAATGATATATCGCTCTTAACAGGGAACAAATGACAGTTCAAATCTAGCAGCCTGCCTGAAACTTTCCCAACACTCAAATCAAGCTGTGGAATAACCCATCAGAAAATTCATAATAAATTGCAAATGAGCAAATTTCACCATTTATTTTTGTAAAACATCATACAAGACTAGAATCTGCTGCATTTCTAGGAAAATGTCAATTCTACTTGTTTATCCCTCCAAAATGAACTGTAATAACTTAATCCTATTCTCAGTTACATACTTGATCAATATAGTACCTGTTCTACTCGTCCTTCTCGAAATGCAAGAATCCTGGTAATATTTTTAAACTCTGCATATCGACTGACATTAGATTTGATTAGCAGATCAATTAGCAATCCCCGAGAATACAGCAACTATACAAAGAGAAAGTATAAAAAGTAAGACCAAAAGCAAAATAATGGACAAATGATAAATAGGAACTATTAGTTTGCTGGATTTTTAACTTATTTGCAAAAAGAACTACACATATAAATGTTGTAATATGAAATAATTTACTGCATATTCACAGCTCATTTTCGGAACATCAAAATATTTTTTTAAAATCAACAGTTTTTCTTAACTCATTTGGTAGCAAAGCCTGCTTCAAATGATAAATAGTTCTGTCAAATGTTAACTGTCTAGTTACAGAGTATCTTCTCCCATATGCTAAGATGTTAGATAATACACAGGATCTCAACATATTCATTGTATTATCTCCCCCAATTTATTTTTAAAATCTCAATGACTGGCCTGGTGCAGTGGCTTACTTCTATAATCCTAACTATTCACAAGACTGACTTCTCAAGACAGTTATGGTTTGAAGTCAGCCTAAGTAGAAAACTCCATGAACTCTGTTAACCAGCAAAATGCTGGGCTGAAGGTGTAGCTCAAGTGACAAGAGTGCCAGCCATGAGGAAGGAAACTAAGCAAGCTCAAGGCAAAAAGAAATTATAATAACTTGAAAGACAGAACATACTAGCATGCAAGGGTTTGGGGAAGGAAACTGCAGACCTGTACAAGGCCATGTGCTTATAACAAGTCAGCTCAGAAAAAAAATCATAATGTATTTCCACTTAGAGTCTATTTATAAGGTTCCTTCTTGATCCTCAGTCCATGTTTGCACAAGACATGACTTTCTCAAGAAGTGAGACCTGTTATTGCTGGCATGAATGTGAGAAATTGAGTCAATCTTTCAACATCTCTCATAACTAATATTAAAGAGAAAAAAACCACAAGAATTCAATCAATATTATGTAGCATGTTTTAAATTCAACCATACAGTTAAATGCAACAGATCTAGTAATTTCCTATAATCAAGACAATTTTAAGTATTGCTTATAACTAAATAAATATTAACATTTTAAACATTACATCTATAATAACTGGAGGAAATTTTCTTTACCAAAGAAAAAAGGAATCTCTAAAATGAACCTAAATCATTATTTTGAGCATCAAAGTGAACAGTAAAGATTTTCTGTAAATCAATATCAGATAAGCAAATTTTCATAAACTATATTAGTTCAGTAATTTTCAATACAAACAAAATTAATGTCATTTTCAACTTTTGTCTTTTTTTTTTTGCAGTAGTGGGGCTGGAACTCAGGGCCAGGGCATTTCTGCTCAAGACAAATACTCTACCACTTTGAGCCACAGCTCCACTTTTGGTTTTCTGGTAATTAACTGGAGATAATAACTAACAGACTTTCCTGTCCAGGCTGGCTTTGAACCATGAGCCTCAGATCTTAGCCTCCTGAGTAGCTAAGATTATAAGTGTGAGCCACCAGTGAGAGCCTAGCCGACTATCATCATTTTTCTCATCATCTTATTCCTGTGATCCTCAGATCCCAGCCTTCTGAGTAGCTAGTGTTACAGGAATGAGCCACTGGTTTCCAGCTTCAAAAAACACATTTTTTTGCTTAAAAAATAAGCATTTGGGGACTGGGAAGGTGGCTCAGTGGTAGAGTACTTGCCTCTCATGCATGAAGCCCTGGGTTTGATTCCTCAGCACCATATAAACAGAAAAGGCCAGAAGTGGTGTTGTGACTCAAGTGGTAGAGCGCTAGCTATGAGCTGAAGAGCTGAGAGACAGCACCCAGGCCCAGAGTTCAAGCCCCACAACTGGCCAAAAAAATGCATTTTTTAAGGTTCAAGGATCTCTCAGTCATAATAACTGGACAATACTAATATATAAAACATAAAAATGTATTAAGATCTAATACAGCTTAAGATTTAATGCCTATTTTTTAAACTAATGTACTTAAAGGATTATGGAAGAATAAAAATAAATTTCAATGAAAACTACCCCACAATTTTATTGCTGAAGCTCAGAAACAATAAATGTGTACATTATTTAAATCACCCAGCAGCATCAGAATACACGTTTTTCTGAGCAGCACATGGAACGTTCTCTAAAATAGACCACATTTTAGGCCACAAAGCAAACTTGTCTAAATTCAGAAACATTGAAGTTATACCTTGCATTCTCTCTGACCACAAGGGAATA